CGGTTTAAATATAGTGTAAATGTGCCACACGAGTGCAGAATGATCAATGGAATCGTATCTGCAATTGTATCCGCAGTATGCACAGATTACAATTGTTCTGATGAACATTGTCCACTTTACTGCAGCGATAGATGTACTTGAGCTGCCAGATTCACCGTTCTAGACGATCGAGCCAACCCTGACGGAGCAGTGCAAGGATGAAGAGGCATATCGTTCACTGAAGTGTGGCCAAAACTATCGGAGATTTTATACTGTAGGGAAACTGGGAAATGCTCGAATCAATTCTGCAAACCTATTTTGCTTACTTTTAATTGTCGAACAGTGGTCATCACTTCAGGAAGATCATCTCTTCCCTCAAACATACATTATAAGACGCCTTCTGGCCTGTAAACCGATTGGTTAATTACCTGCCTGGTGTGCGACGCACAATTAATAATAGTACACATCTGACGTGGTCACTATCAGAGGCAAGTGAATACTTTGAAAAATAACTTCATTTCGGAATCCCTATGGGTTAAATGATCATGGTTTCTTTTCATTTGATGACTGAGAGAGAAATTGTCAAGTATAGTCAAAAACTCCAAAGCATATGAATGATCCTCTTTTTAATGGACAGTGATCGGGAGTTCAATTTTTCTACGGAAAATACTGCCGGGTGTAAAAAAAATGTAGAATACCATTACGCGTATACAGTGAGCTACCTCGAACGCAGTATTGGTCATTGCGTTCATCGTTCTTCAGGTGCATGTTTGTTTATGTGCTTGTGTGCTAACCCTAACTGGGGCACTGGAGTAAAATGGAGTAAAAAATGAGCTGTAATACTATTAGACCGCTGATATATAGTATTTTGTCGCGTAAACACAAATCTGATCGATTAGCAGGGCTCAGTCGACTGTTATTTGATTATCACACTGCTCTTCATGTTCTGATCAGCGAACAGATGCATACGAGGACACAGGGGACGGAAGGAAACCATTTCTATTTGTGTTTGTGCACCAGAGCAGGTTTCAAGGTATCCCTGATTGTATAGTGTTTGTTCACACTGTTTCGTTATTTATGATAACTTCAATGATGATGCTAAAATTTTCATTGGTGCCCTTTAAAATACAACATTTTGCATATCCCTAAATGAGTCACTCCACTTTACAACATCCTAGTCAGTCTACACCACTTTGCATCATTCTGTGTCCACTGCCGTCTTACTTCGGGGAATTCATCTGATTTCTCAGTGTTCAAGCACATTCCTCTTGAGATCAAATTGTTGATGTCGCCAACACGAGGGATACTGTCAATTTCTAATAGGTAGCTGAAGTCAAACATACCGAACTGTGATGAGTCTATAGGGGCTCAGAACAGCAATTATGTAAGTTGAAAATCCTCCGCGTGCCCACACAAGCGCACGTACTGGTGTATGTTGGTGGGTGAGCGAAGATGAGTATAATACTCTGGTCTTCATCTGATAAGCGCTCGTGCCTGCAGGTGAGCACGAATACACAGTGCGCATGTGGATTCCGTACTACCGAGCCACAAAGTCGCAGTGGCTAAACAGATATCAGTCCGACCAAGTCCGTGTGCTTACCTCAATAGAGGTACCCACTTCGCTTGGAAACACTTATTTGTCATATATATTTATTACGTTTATACGGGCACATGATTGGTCCTCGACACTGGTCTTGGTATTGCGCTAATTTTCCGCTGTTGTAACAAAAATGAAAGACGTCGAAATTCGAAACTGCTTCGGTGCGCAAATGTTGACAAATTTAGTCACGTAACATCCAGATATTGGTCTCGGCTACAGTCCTGCAGTGGGCGCAACACATTGTTATAGGCTTGGATTATAGATTGTACAACAGAACGTTGTCCACCGTGAATGGATACATGAGACAAATATGGATCGAGTCTAGGTGTGGGCTAGTAACTTCAACGGACAGGCGATTCTCTGTGGATAGGTGGAGAAGGTAGATTTATTGTCTGTATGTAAGACAGGTAAAAAACCACTGAACAGAAAGGTTCAGTAAGATACGAACACGACTCCACTCAAAATGAAATGACAATTAGTTAGTTACTTCCTTTGTAAAGTCGTGTATACTGCACTGCAAAGGTGTACTCGCTATTGCCCTTCAGCTACAATTCTTATTCCCTTCGAGTAGATGACGTTTGATGGATATCAACAACCGTGGTATACATCACAATTTATGTCAAACACTTCAGTGGGGGGGGGGGAGAAACATGACAAAATGGGAAGAGAAATAACATTCCAGCTCTAGCTCACACTGTGATCATCACGCATAGGCATTGGTTCGAGTCATTAGGGGCAAGTGGAGGGATGAATGTGTCGGATGTGTTAGCCATGGAAGACCGAGTGTTCTTAAGAATTGCTTTTGGGAGCATTGGGGGAGTATGTTGGCGGATATCGATTGCTTCGCTGTGGTCACAATGAAACTCCTAATCCCATTAGATCGACGGCTGTGAACTAAGTAGGTGGGTCGATACGCCTCGGCCACATCAACCAGATGGTTTGACTCCACTAGGTATGAAATGATCTAACTGGTGATAGTCATAAGCACTGCACACTTCAGTCAGGCTGGGTGGTGCTCATGGACTCGTTCAGATAAACGTCTGCTCGTGAAACCCATATAACTTGTCCCACAGGAACCAGTAAACACTCGGTCTTCCATGGCCAACACACCCGACGCAGTCATCCCCCCATTTGCTCCTACTGACTCGAACCAATGCGTATGCGTGATGACCAAAGTGTGAGCAACATCCGGCCATGGAATTGGAATGTTG